TTTGTTATGCCCAGCGTTGTTTATGCCAACGGTGGTTATGCCGGCGTTAAACACACGTGACACGAATTGCGAGATCGGTATACTAAAACACTTGCACGCTCATATACTCCGTTCACCCTTAAAAAAGTCATGAAATGAATTTTTGGCTGGGATAAAGTATTTTAGATTTCAATCTTACTAATCGCATATTGTTTAGTGGGCCAAAAGGAAAAGGTTAGGTAGTCAAAAAACCTCTTTTAGGTACGAGAATTCGAAAATATAGCGGACTATTTCGTGCCTCCTTTCCTTCGAACGCTTTCTGACTTTTCACTGTGATACATCCGCGGTACACCTAGCACGTCAGCCTACCCCAGCTCACGCATTGGACCAGAGCTCTACGTCACTTGGACGCTCATCACTCATTCGCTCATCAACAATCAATCCTTAGACGAATATTTGATTTCGCATTCGTGGCCAACGAGTACTGTGACGGCACTTATCATCGCTTGCTAATGACAAGTTCCAGGGTCTGCCTAAAAGAACTGCTGGAAGCTTGGAGTCATTAAGGAGTCATCGTACCGGTATCCAAGCACGTCATGACCGCGTGATTTCACATTTCGCTTTTGAGTTGAGAAGATGGAAAAGAATCTCATGGGCCCCTTTCAACTAACACTGCGGTAAAAGCTACAAGCGTGAGAAAGTTATGCGTTTTGGGGAGGGGGGTCGGCTTCCCAATCCTCCTCCCCAAAACGCATACTACTACTACTACTACTACTCCAGGCTTCGAGACGTGTATTTCTAGCGCGAGCACTCGTTCTACGGAAGAACGCCTCCAAGCAGCGACCTCGTGCTTTCCTGCTTTACGCGATGGTTGCAGCCTCAGCTTAAAACGTCAGCTTAGTGTCCAAATATTTTGGGGCTGTGCTTTTGTGACGTCAGGCTCAGCGAGAGAGAATACTTGACCGGAACTTTATTTCGGCCTCTCATCCGCTGGCTCCGTCTCACCGTATAAAACACTACAGCCAAAGCTACAGTTACCGGTGAGAAAACCATATGGAATACTGGTCAGACTTTCGTGCCAGTCTGAAGCTCTGATACGCATGTCTGGACAATATACCAACGGGGTTCATAACTAGTTTGTGATTGGACCTTGTAGCGAGGCAGGGACTTAGTCTGCTCATCATAGGGCAGACCTGGGTAAGTTACTTTTAAAAAGTAATTCGTTACAGTTATAATTACTTTCAGAAAAAAGTAGCGAAGTTACCATTACAGTTACCGCAACAAAAGCGTAACTCGTTACAGTTACAGTTACTTTTAAAAAGTAACGACGTTACTTTTCAGTTACTTTTTTATAACACAAAAAAAAATTAGGAAAAACTAGAAAACGCTCCTTACCAAGTTTTATTGCATAAAATTAAAAAGTACGCTTTTTACTTCCTAAGGTAACTTAGCAGAAGTTGCTTCTCGAAATTAGTTTTTGAAAATTTCCACGCCGGAGTAGTGGCGCAAATCAAAATACGAAACATGCGCAGTGCGGAGTACGGGCGCTAATCAAAATACGAAACATGCGCGGTGCCCTGCGCGTGTATTGTTGTTTCCCGGTTGATCCACCCGATTAAAGAGCGTTTTCACAGAAAAAAGAAAAACCACTACATAGATAGTGCTTTAAGACACTAAGACGTAAGTGTTTAGTCACAAAGTACATGCGCGTGCGTAAAGATAACTAGATTTTTTTTTTATGAAATCTACACGTGGCAATATTCGGGTCGTAACTCGTGAGCAAGAACATATTCACAAGTTTGTGCAAGGCCAACTTGACACTCGAAATGTCGGAATAGACGGTTTGAAAAGTGCAAGGAATATCTAAATTGTACCTCGTTCAGTGATATATTATTCATAAAACACTGGAATTAACGACAAAAGTAACGTCGTTGCTTTCATCATTACCTCAGAAAAAAAGTGATAGAACTACAGTTACAAGTTACATTTAAAAAAAGTAACTCGTTACAGTTACAAGTTACCAAAAAGTAACGAAATTACAGCAACGCGTTACTACTCAAGACTGTCACAGGGTGAGGCGAGTTACAGCCTCAATGACTGCTTTAATACTACGTGTAAAGTAGACCTGCATAATATTGTGCCACTGCTGTCAGTTATAAGTATGAATATTTGTAAAAATAAAAATAAACAATTTGTCACGGAACACGTAAGTTACTTATTCCAGACTCAGAAATGTAATCGGTATGAAGAATTAAGCAGATCTCATCTGGGCCTTTATCTATGACGGTTTAAGTACGCACAGAGAAACCAAAAACCATGATACATGTATGGTTTTTACTCCCAGTGTTTCATACATGGGCTTTGATAGTGGTTACTACTGCGGTGATATATTTAATGCTCGTACTTCTGTTGATGAGCATTCATACATGTGCATGTCTAGAACAATATTGAGAAAGTGGACATGCCTCACCAACTTATTTGTTCTTTCTTTCAATTGCTGATAGATGACCAGGATCGAAGATTTCAGGCCAAGGATTTGGGTACATGGTACACATTTATATAAATACAGCGTATCGCACTAAACAACAGTAATAATAATAATAATAATAATAATAATAATAATAATAATAATAATAATAATAATTTTGATTATGTTTATTTTCTACAGTATACAAATGGTGGTGACAGGGAAAAAAAGCCTCAAAACGAAGCTCACCGAGTTTTCCGTATTTGAAAAAATTGGAGACGACGGACCAAGAAGGGGAGAAACCCAAAACGTCCCAATTGAGGCGTACTGTGTTTGCACCCTTCTTCGTCTGTCGTGTGCGTTTTTTTTTTTTTTTTTTTTTTTTTTAATACGTGTAACATTAACCAGCTCGCCTGTTTACTTCCTCTTTCACCGCGAGTCCTGCAACTTCCAAGCCATATTTAGGTTAGATTAGCGTTTAAGTTATTTTCTTATAAATGTACAAATTCATGTTTTTTTTTTTTTTCATATATCAGTACACTAATTTATAGTTTTTGTAAAGCATTGTTAATATATTCTAGTTGAACGAATATCTTGAATGAAATCAATTTGGATTGTTGGCTCGTTTAGAAGAAAAAAATTAACCACGTGTCTATGATAACTTGAGGACCCAACATAAATACACTTTTAATAAAATTTACTTATACATTGGTCAATTCATTTGGCAAGTGATCTAAACGTGGACATTTTTTACCATACTAAATTCATATCTAGATGAAGCTACGGTATATTAAGGGCTATGCGTTATTTGCATGAAATAAATATAGCAATTAAAGAGCTCATTTAACCAACTGAGCAGAATCACTTGGACAAGACCACTTTCGTTTTCATACCTATAAGATTCCCACTATAAAATTGATAAACTAATTTCAAATCATTAAATGTTTGTCTCGCATTCCATCAGGCAGATGTTCCTTAAACTATAATAGAGTACCCATTATCATGCAGTACAGTTTTAATTTAATAACTTATTTTAATTACTTTCCCTGAAGCCGTAGTACAGTTTTCTTTTTAAAGCTTACGGCATTATTGAACATACGCGGGAGTTATAGAGGTTTCCGCGAATTTAAGATCGTATGTAGGGCCATTCATAAAGTTCGTGTTATCGGCACCAAAATTTGAAAAAGGGGAACAAAGCAGGCACCAACACGAATGCGCATCCCTCTAGTTTCGGCACAGGGTCACTGCACAAACATTCTTCGCAACAACCTGTATATGAGAAAACTTCACGCGCACAGAAAGAACTCCGCAATGAAGCAACCGCGGAAAGGTTGCAGCTGAGCGAGAGCAACCTTGTTAACCTTTTTGACCGCCTCGTAACTATGGTCGAGTTTTTGGTTCACCACTATGATCCAGAGGCAAAATTACAAAGCAAACAGTGGCAGCATGTAAACTCACCGGCACAAAAAAAAAATAGCAGAACTGCCGTCGTCGGGAAAGTTCATGCTGAGCGTGTTCTGGGATTGCCGTCGTGGATTGCTAAGACTGCAGGGACAGATTATACTTACAAAGGTCTAACGTTTACGGGCAATTATTATCGTGAGCCTCTCACAAAGTTGTAAAAAGCTATCAAGGCAAACTGCAGAGGAAAGCTCACAAGAGGCGTTCGTCTACTTCATTGCACTGCCCAGTCTCACTCGGCACTCGCACTGTTGTCGCACGCGGCCTCTTTAGGTTAGGAAAGTTTGCGCCATTCCCCATATTCACTCGACTTCGCACTTAGTGACTTTTTTCTCTTCCCTCGCATGAAGACTCCACTGCGTGCGTAGAAAGCATTTTAAGGACGACGACCAAGTGATTGCAGAAGTGCAGCGATTCCTGAACACTCAGGACGATTAGTTCTATAACAATGCCTCTTGGCAGGTTGTTCATAGCTGGCAAAAGTGCGTGACTTTGGGTAGCGCATACGTAGAAAAAGAATAAACCCCCACACGAGCTTCAATGCTTAATCTATTATTTCATGACAAAACACGACCCTTATGAGCGCCCCTCGTATTTAGCACTCAACGTAGTAATTAGTGTTTCACTGTTTCACCGGTATTTTGAACTCTGCACGGCACTGAAAAGCTAATAAAAAAAAGGGACATGCCGAGTGTTTTGAACAGCCTTCTAAACTATCTCGCCACAAGGATTCAAAAGTTAATCAAAACGATTTAGTGTGTTCAAGTATGGAGCGCTTAATTTGTGTTATATCCGACTATCATATGCTATCCTTGTTTTTGTATTCGCATTTTACTTTAATTTATATGTAAAACATCAAAGCAAAGCTATAAATAATGCTGAAAAAAACAAGAAAAAAAAAGAAACACTTTTGATCTTATCACTAAAATACAGTAGCGCTGGATTTATGATCAAACCACCTAAACGTGCGATTCCTTTGGTTGGTTCTGTTTTTACCGTTGCGCTAAGCCGGTGTTTTTTCTCTAATAGAGCTTTTTCTTAGTTTTTTATCCAAAAAGTGCAGATGTGTGAATGAGTTGTAACTCTTTATCAGGCCTCACTGGAGATATAACCATTAATGAAAATGGAGACAGAGAAGCTGACTATACCCTCAACGATTTGGATCCTGAAACTGGACTGATGGTGGTAAGTTTCTTCTTTTTTATTGAGTGATAGAACAATATTTACAGTTAGATGGCTCATGAGATACATATGATTTAGGTTACATTTTATGGCCCTATGACGGCTTAACTTTATTATTGAATCGCGTCCTGCAATTCACGAAAAAAAAAACTTCAACATAGCATGGAACTTCATTACCAAAAGCAAGAGGGACATACAAGACAATATAGATGGCACCGGCTTTCAAACTGCAATAAAAAGGATCACTGACTAAACCGTGAAGCCAGTAAACGTGTTTCTTTTTTCAGGTTGAAGGCTAGTGTTGTCTGTGTGTTATTCGGTGTTCCTATTTTCTTTTCGTAATTTAAGCACCAGCACGCTCGACCATCCACAAGAAACTTGAGCTTCGTAAACAAGCGCGAAGTTCAATTCTGGAGCTATGATTCCATGGGGGCCATTTTGGAAAGAAATGTTTTGACTAAAATAACACTATCTAAATATAAAAACAGTTCTCTAAAGCGAATATTACAATATAGGGCTCACGTATTGTATGTAGGATCTAAAGAAATAAAACTGAGACGCTGCACAAACCTTACACTTAATCACAGTTTCCTTATCACTTCAAATAAAAAAATCGAACTTGGACGCTTCCCTTTTTTTTTTTTTTTTTGCCCTGAACCCTCAATTGCTTGAGGGCATTCTTAACTGCAGTAATTAAAAAAACACCGGTAAATGTTCAGCACTGATGCAATATTACGGCACAGGGACTTACCCAGGGGGAAGGGGGGGGGGGGGGGGGGGGGAGGGGACCATCTCGCCTGATTCCGAGTCAAGAGGTCCAACGCGTCAAGAGGTCCAACGAGTCAAGAAGTCCAATATTGGACCTCTTGACGCGTTGGACCTCTTGACGTGTTGGACCTCTTAACTCTCCGTGGATCTCTTGACTCGGTGGATCTCTTGACGCGTTGGACCTCTTGACCCATATTGGATCTCTTGACTCGTGCCTCGATGTGTCAAGAGGTCCAACGCGTTAAGAGGACTAATATTGGATAGCTTGGCTCGTTGCATCTCTTGGTGTGAAATATGTACAGGCAAGGGGTGTGAAATAAGTACAGGCAAAAAATAGAAAAAAAGAACAACTATAAGGGCACCTCAGCTTTCTCTTACGATGTGAGAATGCGCGAGCACTACCTTTTCCCGAGTTATGTTGCCGCAACGGATAGTGCGAAAACCAGGCAGGGGGTGGTTTCGTGCTCACGTAACCAGGGAGGTCACGTGGCCAGGGTTTTTTTTTTTTGTCACGTGACCACAGACTTTTTTGTTTGGTCACATGACCAGATAGGTCACGTGACCAGAGAGATCACGTGACCAAAGATATCACGTAACCAGAGCTTTTTTTTATTACTATGTTGGATTGTGTTGGACAAGTCACGGATTTTGACGACGGATTTTGCCGACGGCTTTTTCGCTGACTAGGCCAGGTAATGCTCACGCATTAAAAAAGCAGACAACAGAGATGCTAACAATAAAGGCGGAGAAGAAAAATGTCTGAAAAAGAGCAAAAAGTTGAGCTGTGAAGACTTCCACACGGCAGGGGGGATCTCACGAACACGGTTTTGATACATCGTTTCTGGCCGGTGATGTAATCAGTGCTCGTGCGTATCACCCGTGATTTGCTTGGTTTCTGAAGCGACAGAAACTCGCGCGCTGGGCTGTGGGGATCGCATGCTGGGCACTGGATTTGTAAACACCGGAAATAATTGTTGTTATAAACTGTCAAGCTTATAGCAACATTCGTTTGTTGGGAACCTGTGTGCCTTCTCTCTTCTACCCCTGACCACAAAGTCGTAAATCTGCATCTCCCGTGTTGTTCTCTTCCGCGAATATCGAACACGTAACCGGAAAGGTCTTCACATTTCACAATTTGAGATGCCTTTTTTTTTTTCTAGGAAGTGACTACTTCGACATCCGGGTTCGAAATAATTGTAAAACTATTTTGAACACATCTTTCGTCACATACGAACGATATGTCCATAGTTATTTGCTATTTCGACGTATGCCGTCACACTAAAGCACTATTACGGCGTTTGAAGTCAGGATAACTGAGCATAGTTCTTTTTTCTTAATTTCTGTGACATCATTTTCAAAAGTTGTAATAATTATTTAAATTTGTTCACATCTCGTCAAAATAGCTTCCTTGATATTTTGAAATGCTTGGTCTTCGAAGAACTTGAAGAGACAGTTTGCCCTGGCGCAGCATGGCATGCAAAGTTAGTAATTTTTTTATTCGCCATGGCCTAGCACTGGACACACTAGGGATCTATCGGCTTCAGTGATCGACTAGCTTTCCGACACGAACTGTTATTCAATCGACTTCAACCTCTATGACCCAATTTTCTAAAATTGATTGAGCAAGTAACCCACCATCTTACAATTCCAACCGACTAACACATCGCGTAATTTCAACTAAAAATAAATCATATCGACAGACAAGCGTTAGGTAATTCGTGCAAAAAATGCCATAATCCTGAAACGTTGAGTTTCATGGTTTATTTCACAGCATTCTCAAAAATAAAGAGCAGTGAAGGAGTTACATATCGCTAGCATAAGTATTTGTGGCTGCTCCCTGCTTTTGAGTAAGCAAACGGCACAAATTAACCCGCCATAGCTCGCACCGGTCATAACAATTCAAGGAGACAATGCTGGCATTCATTTGCAACACTCTATTGGACGCCAAGCGGCATAATTTGGGCTCGTTTAAAGACGCCCTCCAATGATATTTGAGTTTCTTCCCATGTTGTGTTATTTACCTCTTTAGTGATTCGGTGAACTCAGTGAATAAAAACTAAAGCATAAAATAGTAGTGCATCATATTTTTAATAGAAGATACGAGACCCCGGGACTGAACAAAGTAACCCAAGGAAGTATTTGCGATTACAAATACTGAGATACATGAAAGGGAAGGCTAAACGCCAGATGGGGGCTGAGGTACATTTGTATTTTACATCTCGGGAATTTGAGAGACACTTCCGTAGAAGTGGCATAAATAAGTCCTAGAACAGAGAGACTGAAACACAGATATTAAGTTCTAGAAGTCCAAAATATGTCGTCAGGCACTATCTATTATTTAACACTCAAATACATATACACTGTGGCCAATAGTATCTGTCTACTTGTCTCCAATGGCTATGTAGTACTTGTATTCTCCAAAATATTTCATATAGGTCAAACAGTCAGTAACCGTTACAAGCAGTCCCCCCCCCCCCATTAATAGCAATATCATTATAAACAGAGATGATAAAAATAAGGCTCGATGGTCTTCTTGACGCGTTGGACCTCTTGACGCGCTGGACCTCTTGACTCGATGGACCTCTTGACGCGTTGGACCTCTTGACTCAAATTGGACCTTTTGACTTGTTGGACCTCTTGACGCGTTGGACCTCTTGACTCGAATTGGACCTTTTGACTCGTTGGACCTCTTGACTCGGCTGTCACGTGGCTATTGGACCTCTTGACTCGTTGGACCTTTTGACTCGTTGGACCTCTTGACCATAAGCGATCTCGCCCCCCCCCCCTCAAAATCTTTTATTTTGCTGGGGCCTCCTCTCCCCCTTCTCCTCATACAGCATTTTGTCATGGGCGAGACTCCACCCCCCCCCCCCCCCCCCATCTAAATCCTGGCTACGTGCCTGCTACGGCATGCCGTTGCTTGCAATCATCATTTGAGGAAGGTCTCAAAGGGTAACTGCATTCGATATTTATACTACCATGACGGTGCCTGACTTTGCAACAACATCTGTCTACAGCCGGTCGCCACGTTCTTTGGCTTACGCAAGACATTTGAGTACCTAAAGAACAGTGACATCCACTGGCCCGGAGGACGCACGACACCACCACCTGACGTCCCCGACTGTGGCTTCACAGGAGAAGCAAGCCATTGTCAGTTACAAGGTAAGCCTAGCGAGCACCCCATTTATCTAGAAAGGCTCAGCCAAATTCTGGTGCGGCTTCTGTGTGTATCCAATGCCCCCACCGAGACAGCGTAAAAGTTACAGGCCATAAGACTCGCTTGTCCGGCTGGTGTTGGCTAACAAGATACTCCGATTGTCAAATAGCCGTACCAGAGGCATTGGCTTACCCTCGTTAAAGTCTAAGCGTCCATGTGTGCATGGAAGATTCCGCAGTTCACACGTATACCACTACCCCATTTTCGTCCGTCATCTCCGGTTTTCAAAAATGTGTAACATAAACCAGCTTGCCTGTCTGCTCACTCTATGTTGAGTCATACATTTGTAGACAAAAATATTTGATGAAACGGTTCACCATCAACGACCTTACTTGTTACGTACATGAAAGTCAAACAAAATCTGCGTTATACAAAGCAGAATAACAGTTCCTGGGGGGCTCCTCCTGAATAAGTGACGTGTTTTCTAAATTTTGTCTGGTAGGGATAAAAGTCGCCCCTGGAAAATAATATTTGATTGAAAAACTTATCATGTGCTACCATATCAACTTCCGTTACATATGCTACCCCATCACATGCGTTCTAAGAGAGATGACTCACGGGGTTTGTTTTCCTTTCAGAGCCCTTTTCGCCGTACGCTACAGCAGCAATCGCCTTAGTCGGATTTTTGATAATAGTTTCAATCGCCGGATTCTTCATAATCAAGTAAGACCTCTAAGCCACAATGAGTGTCCCTACCGCTCACGTGACTCTGACCACTGCAAACCCATAAACAGAGCACAGAAAGTGAGCACCGATGCAGGCTTGCTGAAAACAAAATGAGCAAACATTTTAGTTTTCACCGTGTGAGAAATGATGCATTGCTGAAGCTATTGCATGATTGCGCAGAGGACGCAGTCTCTGAGCATTGCGGGTTTAACTTGGCAGTGCTTTGTGTCGCACGATATTAGAAACGTTCGGCCGCAGTTTATTTGTCCACGGCGACTATCATCTCTATGTACACGCATGGAAACTGTTTCATCTAGTGTTTCTCGCTTCGAACATAAGTGCAACGGGGTCAGCACGAACACGAACGTTAATTCATTTATTGTTGTTGTTGAGGATGATGTTTTTTAACCTGGTCCCAATTAGAAATAAGAAACCTGAATATACTATGCAGGGCGCCATTAAAGTAATATAAAAAAATATGCTACAAATAACACAATAATTTCCTTTGGATGACGTAATCGTTCGCGACGAACGTCGCGTTACAAGTTGGCGGGAAGTCTCTAACTGATTTTGAACAACTATGCTACAAATAAAAATCGTTTCTCATTTAAGAAGCATTTTGTTCCCATCCTATGAGAATCTTTGTGAAACTAAATTTTCACGTACGTGCACGCGATTTAAGCAGATCATTCTAAGCGTCGCAATATGTCATCGTTTGTGCTAGTAAGGAAATCCAGGGGGACATTCCCAAATACAGCGCTGATACGTTGCTATAAGTGACCATTTTAAAAAGTGCGCGCCATCATGTAGCTGCTGCGCCGATCACCGGGGTCCGCCATTGCTTGGGCACGGATTGTAGGCATATATTGGACACGAGGGCTGGGTTGAGCGTGAACTCGGTTCAGCATGAACTTGACTCAGTTCGTACCGAGGAGTGCTCCTTCAACGTTCGGAAAAGACTCGGGTCCAATCTCACGCTTTGTTACCCCAGATATGGCAACCACCAATGCTGCTTAATTAGCTTTTCAAAAGGATCTATTCTTCCGAAGGGTGTGGTTTTGTCAGGTAGACTAAGCAGTTAGTCCAACCCCACATAGAAAAAAATTGCATGGCATCAGGTTAGATCTTCTGACAGGCCATTGGTGTGGTCCCCGTCGTCTGATTCAACAGTTCGTCCAGCCAGTCACGAACAGTAAGGGCGAAATCGGATGCTGTGCCGTCCCCACCCCAGTTCATCTCGTGCTACCGAAATATTTTCTGGGCCCTCAGTATCAGAAGAAAACATACGTGCGAATCTGTCAAGACATAACAAACACCATGTTCGTAATGCAGTTAATGCAAAGGTGCAAGCGAGCTGGACAGAAATAACGATTTGGAGATTTCTGTTTGGTCTTTGACTCCCTTGTTTCCCTTCTCCGGGGATTATTATCGTCACCGTGGTCATTTAAAATCCGTTAGTGGCTTGCCGACAAGCCTACATTGAGTTGGCTTGTTTTGTGCTGACTTTTCAGCCTGTACTCTTGTTGTTCTAGATTCAATATTTAGTTTTTCAATTATTGGTGTATTGGCTAATTTATTTTGATGATGGTAATACCGCTAGCTTGGCTGTCAGTACCATAAAACCATGTTTGCCATATTAGTTTTACCTAAAAACAACAACTTCAAATGTCGAAATGTTACTCGCCCTGGTAACTGATTATTCACGTCGCTTTATCAGGAAACTTCAATATGAGTCGCAGCTAAATGCGCAGTGGTGGAAGGTATCCTGGGATGACATCACACTTCCAGGGAAGCTTCTGGACAATGGGAGTGGTAACAACCCCAGCCAACACAGCAGCCTTGCCAGCCAGGTAAGACAAAACCTAGACAGTTTTTTTATGCGGGAACGGGGCCTCTTTCCACGCCTACTTTTTGTAGTTTCAGCCTATGTCAGATAAAAATAATTTGAGGTAAGAATGCGTTACTTGACGTACTTTTAGAGCGCAGCTCTTAGGCGCCCGTTTCCGGCTTGAGCGGCGTCGCCGTCGCCGTCGGCGTAGACGCGCGGTGCATTATGGAACGCGTGACGTCACTGATGACGTAATCAGTGACGTCATCAGCATCGCCATCGTCACTTATGACGTCATCAGTGACGTTATCGGCATTGCCATCGTCATCGTCACTGATGGCGTCATCAGTGACGTCACTGATGACGTCATCGGAATTGCCATCGTCATCGTCACTGATGGCGTCATCAGTGACGTCACTGATGACGTCATCAGCATCGTCGGCATCCGCATCGTCATCATCATCGTCACTGATGACGTCATCAGTGGCGATGACGATGACGATGTGAATGCCGATGACGTCATCGGCATCGTCACTGATGACATCATCAGTGACGTCCCTGGTGACGTCATCGACATTCGCCATCGTCACTGATGACGTCACTAGTGTTGATAACGTCAACAGTGACGTCATGGGTGACGTCACTGATGATGTTATTGTCATCGTCACGTGACCTCATAGGCGACGCCGCTCGGAGGGAGGAGTAGCAGACAGGATGAGGACGTGAGGAGGAGGGAGGAGAGATATACCTTCCCCTCAGTACCCTTCCCTCCTCCTTCTCATGAGCTGCGCTCTAATTCGGCGTTACAGGAAGTTGTAAACGGCTTTCTTTTTTTTTAATTGTTCTGTAGTAAGGATGTTTTTAAATGCACCTAATACACTTTCCATTATTTCTAAAGCACCTTTCAATGGATCGTTAAAATCTCGCTAAACGAAGTAGGAACGTGCTAGAAAAATGCGCACTCGTCAAAAAGTTGTCAGAAAAAAAAATGAAAGCCGTTTACAACTCCCTGTAACGCCGAATTTGAGCGCAGCTCTTGAGGAGGAGGAGGGAAGGGTACTGGAGGGATCAGTTGACTTCGGAAGGAAGGGGGGGGGGTCACGTGACCTCGGAGATCACGTGACCTTGGGGGAGGGGTCACGTGACTTGAGGGGGGGTCACGTGACGATGACGTCATCAGTGATGATGACGATGACGATGCGGATGCCGATTACGTCATTGGCATCCGCATCGCCATCGTCATCATGACTGATGACGTCACTGATGACGTCATTGGCATCATCATCACTGATGACGTCATCGTCACGTGACCCCCAGGTCACGTGACCCCCCCCCCCCTATTTCCTCCCGAAGGAACCCGAGGTCCTTCCGAGGTCCTCCAGAAAAAACCCGAGGTCCTTCCGAGGTCCTTCCGAAGAGACCCGAGGTGCTTCCGAGGTCCTCCCGAAGGAACCCGAGGTCGTGGGGGGTCACGTGACGACGACGTCATCAGTGATGATGACGATGACGATGCGGATGCCGATGAAGTCATTGGCATCCGCATCGCCATCGTCATCGTCACTGATGACGTCATCAGTGACGTCACGGATGACGTCATCGGCATCCGCATCGTCATCGTCATCATCACTGATGACGTCATCGTCACGTGACCCCCCTAGGTCCTCCCGAAGGAACCCGAGGTCCTCCCGAGGTCCTCCCGAGGCCCTCCCGAAGGAACCCGAGGTCCTTCCGAGGTCCTCCCGAAGGAACCCGAGGTCCTCCCGAGGAACCCGAGGTCCTCCCGAAGGACCTCGGGTTCCTTCGGGAGGACCTCGGGAGTACCTCGGGTTCCTTCGGGAAAATTTACCCATAATGCACCGCGCGGTTACGCCGACGCCGACGGCGACGGCGACGCCGACGCCGCTCAAGCCGGAAACGGGCGCCTAAGAGCTGCGCTCTAAAAAGAAAAACTTAACATTGTGGCGCCCCTTTTTTCTATTCTTCCCCTGTTTGTACTGTTTATGTCTCATTATTCGCATGGTAACGGGCGCTAATTAACTGGCCAGTAGTTCTTTGAGCAGGCGCATTGCGGCTGGTGGTACAGGCCATAAAAATGTAGATTTCCGAGCGTAGTTCACTGAGAAACTCTATTACTTGCGCAATTCGAACGCTTACTGTGAAAGTATGAAAGAAGAAATAGGGAACTGATGTTTACTAAAGGTAAAGAGGGCAAAGAAAACTGAACAAAACAAATATAAAGCACTGAAGGAAGAAGACTACAAGATAAAACACCGACTCAGTGCTTAAATCAACTCAAAGGTAATACTTAGAATACAAGCAGTGTGGTGTGAACGAGGCGGGAACTTTCTGGTTTTATGAGGTTTAATAATTATTCGTGTTCTAATATTCGTAAAATATAGTAGCATGCACACACTGCTTCACAACCAAAAATGGGATCACTCATGTGTTTGTTTTTTGGGCCAACTTGTCCTTTTTTGTGCCCAGAGAGGAATGCTCCAGAGTGCTTCCACGACTTTCTTAAAGGGGCACTGACACCACAAAGGTCGTATTTATTTTTATTGTCTAAAACAATGCAAGTTGCAGTCATAGACACGCAAAAAAAACCGCATCGCGAAAAAAAGTGTTCCCGCGCGTGCGCGCGCCTTTTAATTTTTGGCGTTTGAATTTCCCGCCTCTCGCCTCCTCGCTTCTTTTGATCGGTGACGTCAAAAATCAGGAAATTTAGACGCTTTGTAGGCAACATCTCTATAACATTTAATAACGGCAATCCTAAAACATGTTTTTTAACGAAATTGTGAACGCACTACGGCCGTTCTTTTTGAAATACCAAAAATCGGGAGTTCGTTGTGGTGCCGTCTCCTGGATTTGCATCCCTCCACGGAAAACAGGCGACACCGCTCAAAACCGGTCCGCCGCAACGCCGGCGCTCGCTCCTTTCCTCCTTGCTTTGGGTCGCCATGGCAACAGCAGGGATTCGTGAAAAAAAGTGGACTCTCAGGGGTCCGCAATATTTGACGTCAACGCACCGGCGCGGATCGCGCGGGGACTTCGAATTCGTCATTTGGAAATTGTTTTTTTACTTCAAAAATACTGAATTCCCAAATTTCAGATTTTGAGGGTAATGTCCCGGCATCGTTTTCAATCGTTTCGGATAATAAAAAAAATATGATTTTGATGTGTCAGTGCCCCTTTAATCTTGAAGCACATCCTTGAACCGGATTGTGTTCGGCCATTAATATTCGAAGTAACCCTCACTTCCCGCGGGCGTTGGAACGTACCTCTACCTTTCGTTGCAGTTAACTTGACCCTCCTCAAAGCGTATATCTTTTTGAAGGCCCCAGAATCCTTGTAAATAAGAAGGACGCACCTCCCCTCATCCCATGCTTAATAGAGCTTGCCAAGGAATGTCTGACTTACTGCATGGTCGCAACTTGTTTGCTTGATGTGAATACGTAAAGTGTGTATTGTTTTGTCCAAAATGAATGTGAAAGGCAACCAGAACTTCCAATTGACCTGCAAATCAAGCATACCAAGTTTATAAATAAGTTTGTCAATAATTACAAAATAATTCTGTTCGAGGCTTGATGCTGGACACGGTGACGCCATGTGCCTTAGAAATGAAGAATGTTATGTTGTCAAACAAGAACGAAAGCCTAGGTTTTGTGTTGTTTAACAGGTATTTGTGAATAGGCGTCACGACCCTCGTCGTTATTCTACTATATCGTTGAAGGTAAAGTAAATTGGTGGGACCTTCTTTTGCTCTTGGTGTCGTGTTATGTCTGGTGTCCAGCCTGCATGCTTATTTCTAGGCTTCTTGCGTCCTTATTTAATTTAGCCTTTTGTATGTTATGCGGCCTAAGGATTGCTTTAGTCCGGAGAGTTATATGAGCAGCTGAACGTTTTACATTTAAGTCCAACCACTATTACTTCCAGATTGCTGACCTGCGGTTTCCGCTTGTGGAGTCAAAATTAAGCGCTACGGAAAACCAAAAGTCAAAAGCACCTCTTTCGAATAACCTATTTCATGTTCCCAACGTCCTGTGCAAAACTATTGACACCTTTTTTTTATGGGATTAGCTCTACGAGAGTACCGGGTACTGAGCCTCCAGATTCCACAAGTATTCACGTGGCAAGGTTTTCAAATAAAAAAAAGCTTATTTATTTGTCATTTTTCTTTTATAGTACGTCCGTCATAAGTTGTGTTATTTTTGTTTTACCAATTTTAATTTTGCTGTTAATGGTTAAAATAGTCTATTGCAGTTTCTAGAAATCATTCAACAAAAATATTTATAACGTTGAGCATCTACTTAGCTAAACATTACATAACGATACGTCGTTAACCCCCAATTTTAACAGTCTGTTCGCATCCAAAACTTTAACTAATCCCCTTTCAGTGACGGGATTAAAAAAACAATGATTAAGTTGGCAATACTCTATATTTTATTACTAGGCTATAGTATCTGTGATTTTCCAAATTATCATCCTACTTATTTAGGCTAATAACATCGTCAGAGTAAGGTCCCTTAACCATTTTGAATTAAATTAAATTTATTTAATAGTGACTATAAACCTAACAGGTACCACTCATACTGTAACTTTCCCATAATTAGGTTTCTCAATCCGAATGTCAACCCTACCTTTACTCTGAACAAAAATTTATTTTGCTAAACAGATTATCTCTTAGGTTATCACTGTTTTTCAATTCTTTAGATTGGAAAGTGCAGCCTGTTATAAGCACACGATGAGAGCGAAGACACGAGACGCGAGTTGAGGGTTCCTTGTTTTAATGTACGGAGTTTCTTTGTCATATTGAATGTGTGGGTCAATGAAATATACTGCAGCTGGAATTTTCTTTTTCAGTCATACCTGAAATCTACATCAAACGTCAGCACACTACAGATATTGAAGATATCAGGTATCCAACTTGGAACAGTCAAGGTAAACTCAATATAATATATTTCTATAAGTCTTGTGGTCGTTGTACCACCCAAAACGATCGTGAAAATATTCCCTAGGGCATACGGGTGGCTATCAAACCGCTTAACGTGAAGAAACTCCATGTCAACCGCCAACTGCTCATGGAGATGAAAATGGTGAGCGCTAACAAGAGGCACGGCACAAATTTATTTCCTCAAATACCACGGCTATGCAGGGAAACATTGTTTTGTGTCTTTATTTTATATAAATATAAAAAGACCACGCCGGAATCTATGTTATCTATCCTGGGGCAAGGGGAGCCTTTACGTTCCACGGCCGCAACTGAAGTAAGTAAAAACAATTGAAGGAAAAAAAACGCGAAAAGGGAAAGAAGCTTTGTGGAGTCTCACTGAAAGTTAGTAAAAGAGATGGGTCTGCACCTAGCGTCCCGATAAAGGACGTCCAAAAGCCCCGACATGTCACTTTATCAATGAAGCATTATTCAGTAGCTTACAGTTTGCAAATATGACTCTGGCTGACGTTCTAATTGCATGTCAATGTAACATATAAGACACTCGACAAGAAATCGCACTCTTCAAACCTTTCCTTTTTGTCCTTCAGAAATCTGAAAACAAAACTGCATTGTTATTGCGCCATAGCGGCATCTAACAAAAAAAAATCAAATGGCTGGAATGTCACATTTTTACAATTCACCGGTTTCTTTATGGTCGATATTTACGCGTTCATACCACACCCACGTTCCAGGTTCACGACCTCACGCACGAGAACTTGGTACGCTTCGTGGGTCTCTGCCTGGAGGACCCCAACGTTTCAATTATCACTGAACTCTGCCCGCGGGGAAGCCTCAGGGTGTGTGGGTCTATTACGTTACTGTTCCGTGTGTCTTAGTTAGACACGAGTGCTTTGTGTTCTGAGGTTTGTTGACCAAGCTACTATGGTATTGGTTTTCCAATGTACGCCAAAAGTAGCGCGCACGTCTATTGATTCATTGATCTATTGACTACGAGCTTCATTATGCACGGCAAACATCTTATTCTGGTGACAGCATTCAACTAAACCCTGTCAAGAAACTCATGTCCAATCAACTTGTTTCGTTCCATCAGTATGTCTATAGCCTCTATGCTCTGTTTCGTACTTAGCGTGCAACGTTGTCAAAGCTACTGGCGCGAGCGCGTGGCTTCATTTATTGTATTGTTTGCGCGAGAACGCGTGCAAATGATCAACGAGATCAAGCCCCACGCTTGCGCCAGTGACTTCGACAGCGTTGCGCGCTAAGTATGAAACAGAGCATAGGCAAAGTGGATAGGATTTGTGTTATGTGTGACTTGGTGTCCCACACCAATCATTTCTGGAAAAGGTCGTTTTTGATCATATATTGTTTAAAATGTGCTAGTTTCCACATATACCAAGTCCTATATTAAAAAAACCGCCCATTTATCTCATGGCAAGAGAAAAACATGGGGACTCTTTTTTTCTCGCGGACTATATTGTGTAAACCAATGAGGGCCCTACAATACGCGCAGATTTCGAATGGTTTTATTATAACTTGTTTTGAAGTGAGTCTGATAGGTACACATTCGGATAAGACTCGTCTTTATCTCCGCGGGCGAAGCCGTCGCTTGCAACTCGCCAACAAGCGCTCTTCGTCGACCACTTCACTCGGAAAAAAAATTGTTCTCAAAAAGGGCGTATCGTGATCTTTGAACACGCTATTATCGAGAAAGTAAGCTACATACGATTGTGATTTTTGGTTTGTTGGGATACTTAGATCGTCTAGATTGAGTTGTCACCACAAAAGAATGATCTCAAAATCGACTTCAGTGCCCTTTTAAAAAGTTGATTGGTGAATGGTGGTGAATAATTGCATTGCTAAGAATCACTCTGAAATAGTACATTGACGTTCATAGAAATCAACAACTTTATCCCCACAATTGTTTTTTTTTTATCTCAAATGTCTTTTGTTTTGTTGTTTGTGTTCGATTAAACTTCCTTGTATACATGCTTTCCTGTCTCATATCCCTTGTTCATTGCCCACGTCTTAAAACGCCTAGTCCTGAATATTCGACAATTTTTTCTTTCGACATGGGATTTGTTGTTACTTTACTAGCTCGGCTCAAAAAACGTTTACTCGAGAATTAAAAAAAAACGTTAAAAACGGGATTGTAAATAAATGAAATAATGAGGTTTGTTTTATATTTACATGAGCATACAAGTGGCATAATAAAAAAATAATTATAGTACTCACATGCTTCCCTTTTGCAGGACATGCTTGAAAATGAAGACATCAATATTGACTGGATGTTCAAGTGTTCCATGATCACGGACATTGTAGAGGTATGAATTTCTTCTAGAATTACTCGTGACCGATCTTTAGTTTATGTTAAAGGGAGCTCCTGTATGAAATGTGTAGGATTTTCGGCAGTTTTCAGTAGTTTCGCAGATATTCTAAATATTTCAAATTAGAAAAAATAAAAAAAGAAACGGGCACATACTAGGACCCTCCGCCTTTTCTCTTAAGTGTGTTTTTCCTCCGTTTCATTATTACGCCCTTCATCACGCTCGCACGCTACCTGCTTCTCATTTTCAACTGCTAATCCCCTCTTTAATAGAAACTTAGGTACGTCATTAATGGAGCACACTTTCGAATAAGTTTTTTCTCACTAAATGTGCATTTTTTCTCGAATGAAACTCATTCAATAACATTTTTAGCTTGTGATAAGAGAAGATATTCAGAGCTGGGGTAAAGAAATGACACGACTTTAAACTAAGATAAAAAATCTTACTCAGTTTTTTTTAACTACTATTTCATATTCTAATAACCAGGTACAAAAAGGAAATTTCTTGAAACTGTGCTTTTTGCATGCATCTAACTAAAACAAAAAAGTAATAAGATACCAATTTTTTTTAATGCGAGTCTGGACGGAAGGGTGCATCTTTTCTCATGTGTTTGTTTCACCGGGATTAGTCTAGACGTTTCTAAGTTAAAAAATCATACAAGCAAAACCGACATGAGCTCCTCCGGTACAGCGATAGTTAATAGTTTAAATACCCATTAAAAACAATAGAAACCCAGCTAAACTGCAAATCACAACTTTAAAAAAGTGCTGTTCGGCAGCACTGCACACGGCGACGAGTGGTGCAATGCCAGCTGAAGCAGCTCTCGCTGTGTTTACCTGCATGTTACGGTAAAAACTTTAAAGACAAAAAAAAAAAGAAGACATATACCTCGAAAGAAAGGGACGCAATGTCTATATAACTTCGCTTCATCATCAATGTCCGAGCGCTGTCAAAGGCACGGAGGCATCCATCAACGGACATAGCTCATTGGGCCTCTCGCATATGATTGGTTCAACGATAATGGAAGACCCACAGAAACATGACACGCACCATGACTTTGCGCTTTCGACGTTGTTTGATTGGTCCCAACGGCCAGTAGCGCAGGCTGCGTTAGTGCAGTGGCACGCTTCACAGCAGGGCCGTAACCAGGGGGGGGGGGGGGGGGGGGGGGGGTTTAGGGGGTTCTGACCCCCCTCCCCCGAAATTTTTTTCTGGGTACGGCCCTGTTCGGTGCACTGGCAGTCAGCCGATTTTAATCTCCAACTCTGCGCACGCGCAGTGGCGCTGGTCGGCTACCGGGTACCAAACCGGGACCGGTTCTCCGGTTTGCTCTAACTCTCCATTATATGCCACCGATGCACATGATTCATAGGCGAAAATAAGACAATGCGGAGGGCAAGTTCGTCTGCTTCTTGCGCAGGGGGTAGCGGTGACGTCAGAACCCCGAGCCCTGATTGGCTGATCGCGACCCCCTATCTGAGCGTCGTCTGCTCCTCTGCAACGTCGTCTGCTCGCACCGTCGTCTGCGTCTGTCTTATCTTTCTTGCGATTTTCGGAAGTGCAGAGGCCCGAAACGACCTTACGCCAAAAATGTGCGTAAGACAAAACTTAGGAACAAATTCGTATTCACGAAACGAAATTTTCGTAAGTTTTGCGCAGGTTACGACGAAATCCTACGACACACTTCTTACGATCAAATCAGCATGGCCGACAGCGTCGCGGTCGCGACGACCCACGGACGTTTATTTTTCTACGTGCGCTTCTGACGCGTCCCGACTTCAAGCAGCAAGAAAAAAGTAAGAAGTACCTGAAACAGACCACGACGAACAAGAACGCTTGATCCACAAACACTTGGGAAAAGCTCCAACGGCCGCGATTCCCCCGAACGCTACCAAGCGAGCACGGCAGTTAGGCCTAGCAGGCTCTCCGCGACTGGGCGACCGTTTGCCCACGACCGGCTGGCGTGCTGAATGGAACATGCCCGCGCGACCCTTGTGAACCCTTCCCGTATTATACTTTGATCGCTGACCTCAATTTTAGATTAAGAGGTCAATTTCTTCCTCTTGTTATCTCCTTGCTTCCCGAGGCAACGGGGACTCTCGCCGGTGAAAAAGCGCTGAAAAAGCGGTGAATCTCCGACAGACGCAAGAAAGGGAAAGCAGCCATCGCTTTGACTAGCAGACGTAAAGCAGACGACGTTAACTGCGCTAACCCGCCGACGCCGTTAAAGAATGAGGGGTCTCGCCGCACACGAAAGGAGGGAAAAAGTATTTGGGAGGGAACTTGCGGGACACGCTCACCTCACGGCTCTTAGCAAACAAACCTCGGCGCCTCGGGACACCTCGCCAGTGAGTCCTTTGACTTCCCTCCTTGATGCGCGTCTGCTAGTTGTTAGACAAAAACAACGTGCCGCTCGAGTTATTTCGTCTGCAGGAAAGGTGAGACAGACGCAGACGACGTTATGAGCAGACGACGTTGCAAAGGAGCAGACGACGCTGAGATAGGGGGTCGCGATCAGCCAATCAGGGCTCGGCGTTCTGACGTCACCGCTACTTCCTTTCTCATGCGCAGAAGACGAAAATGAGCCCACTTGCGAGGCGTATAGACACTTTCAAAATGGCCGCCGTTGTCCCCGAAACCCCCCCCCCCCCCCCCCCCCCCCCCGAAATTTTTTCTGGGTACGGCCCTGCTTCACAGTATGCAGAGCGCAAGTTGGTCTGCTTCTTGCGCACGAGTTTCTAAGACGTCAGAACGCCTAGCCCTGATTGGCTTCGATTGGAAGGATAGCCAGTAGATGTCAAGGCAGCTATCATTGAGGTCCACCCACTAGCCTTCCACTCAGAGCTAATCAGAACTCGGCCTTCTGACGTTACCGCAACCCGTGCGCAAGAAGGAGACCAACTTGCACTCCGCGTTCTACGATCACACCTAAGCTGAGATCGCGGTGGGAGCAACGTGCCCGCCGGACCAATCAGTCGCTTCCCTTTCATCACCCGACCCGGCTGTCTGCGCGTGGATGGGCGGGAGCGTGATCACGTGATAAAAGGGAGGCGTATGACTGGTCCAACAGAGACGTAGCTTTCACCCCAGTCTCAGCATAGGGGCGAACCGAGCATACATGCGCTCTAAGAAATTTGAAGCGTCTGCTACCCCGCAAAACACTTTGGGAAGTCAATCGCTACAACATACTGAAGGAGCGCGGCGAATGACGGGCCGAATAATATCTCTTAGTCATAAAAAAAAAAAAGCTGCCTGCGCGTTGGCAATGACCACGACGTTTCATTATGCTCAGTGCCACGGCGCAGACCGCCTTTTGCGTCTAAACGTCTTACCAGCCCGTCACTCGCCGAGCAACATCCGTAGATTGCAGCGATTGGCTCTACCGAGTGCGTTGCGGGCATAGCGGACGCTCTAGATATCCTACACTCAAAAAGGAGTCTGTGCGTCTACCTTCACGGACGACACTTGGAGAGCCAATCATCGCAACTTACGGAGGCAGTTTAGACCAAAAAAACGCAGTCTGAGTTGTGACATCATGCAATGCATGCTTGACGTTTTGCATTGCTTAATGTCACAACTCAGACTGCGTTTTTTTTTTTTTTATCTAAACGTATGTTTCGGCATCGTCATTCGCTGAGCGGCCTCCGTAAGTTGTGGTCATTGGCTCTCCGAGTGTCGTGGGGGAAAGTAGACACACAGACTTTTTTTTAGAGTGTAGAGTGTGCTCAGAAACGAGCTCGGTGTGTATCCTCACTGACTGCTTAAAAAGCAGGTGCGTGTGACTTAATATGTGCACACTTCTTGCTTTGCGATTCGTCTTTCCACGTTCTTATCAGTATCGGCTAGTACACTCTAAAAAAAAATCCCGTGCGTCTACTTTTTCGCACGACAAACAAAGGGGCCAATCACCGCAGCTGACGGAGGCAGTTCAGCGAATGACGATGCCGAAACATATGTTTCGACCAGAAAACGCAGTCTCAGCTGTGACATTAAAGGGATACTTCAACGAAATTTGAAATATTCCCGTCGTGTTCAAAAATAGGTTGAATATGATCCACAATATCCGTAAATGACAATCGCACGTTTGAATTTTGATCCTGGTGGCCGTATTTTTCGTTATAAACGGCCCACTCTGGCGAGCGCTCGGAGAAGGCCCAGCTTAGAGCACGTGACATCCAACGCAATCGTGACTTAGGTCGTCTCAAGACGAGCAAAGCTACGGCGAGGCTGACGTCGAGAGGATGGCCTAGTCGTTCCAGTCACCGAAGCGGCTGCTTTTGTACGAATTTTGAGTGACGGGTTAATCTTCTATAATCTTCTAGGGGGACAATAGCGACTTCTGCGACACACAAAAGGGGTTCTCGGGAAGAGGGGAGTTCCTCCTTCCCCCCTTCTCTCGTCGTGGCCGGAGACGAGACAACCTCCGTCACTAGCTGTCAAGGTTCCTAGACGAGCATTACAAACGAGGCGTTAGCGACATCCACCAGGTGCTCTTTGCTAATCGTTTAATTCCTTTTAAAATTCTTTTTCGAGACTTTTTTAACAAGATATTGGTATGTTCGATGTGATACTGCTCCTTTGAACACATATAGACCAAAAAATGAGCGCCGAAATTTGGTTGTAGTATCCCTTTAAGCACTGCAAGCATGACGTTTTGCATTGCTTAATGTCACAACTTAAACTGCGTTTTCTGGTCGAAACATATGTTTTGGCATCGTCATTCGCTGAGCTGCCTCCGTAAGTTGTGATGATTGGCTCTCCGAGCGTCGTGCGGAAAAGTAAACGCGCAGGCATTTCTTTGAGTGTACCACAATCTTATTGACTACGCAACGATATTAAGATGTTTGGGACACGCTACGCTCTACGCTTGTTAACGTGCTAGTGTGCTAATAGGGAGTTTTAGAATAGCGCACGCTAAAGCTTTGCGTGCGCAAAAAATAGCGTCGTCGCCACTGCGCATGCTCCGAACGCAAACCAGGTTTTGCGCTTTGCGTGCGCAATTTTAACTCGCTCTATTTCTCGGAAATAGCGTGCGTACGCAAAGAGTCTTTGCGCTTCTCCAAGGAGGATTCGTGATGAGAAGTTGGCTAAAGCCAAGACAAGCACAGTTAAAAAAAATGGCGGCTTCTAAGATTATGTTGGCGGCTGCTATGGCGGCGTCGTGAGTGCGACGTCGGCGGCATCCTCGCGACTGCAATTTTCAATACGGGACGACATTGTACTCGGTTTGGCAGCGATCACCGGCAACTTGATGCTTGCGACGCGCGAACATTTCACGGCGAAGGAACGATGTGCGAAGGTCAGTACCCGAGACCTCTCTTGCCGAGGCGACGCAAGCGTACACGACCGGTCAACCGCTTGCGTCGCGTTCTCATGTTTAAACAAATTAAAATGCTACTCTGGACCAAAAAAATAGTTTTTTTTTTCTAAAGTTACATTATTTCGTGTGTGAAATAAAAATTTTTGCTGTATCTTGGTGGCGTCGCAAGCGCCAGATGCTTGGGCTTTTGCGTCGCGGCGGAGAAACGCTATTCTAAAACTCTCTCGCGTCGCGTGCGCTAATACAAGCGCTAAATTTAGCGCTTGCGTGCGCTAAAATTGCGTACGTTATTCTAAAACTCCCTAATGATTACAGAGCACTTTACCGGCCTGGCTAATTAATTCGCAAATAATATTGCATTATTTTTTTTATTGCAAGGGTCTGAATTACTTACACGGGTCAAGCATACAATTCCATGGAAGACTAAGGAGCACAAAGTGCGTCGTGGATGGACGGTTTGTGGTGAAGCTGACCGATTACGGACTGCGACATCTCCACGCACAACTCCCGGAACCGGAAGACAAGAATCCAAGTAAGTCGTGTCCTACGCACCGCGAAACCTACCTACGATAGCCTATATTCATTCATTTACTTTGAAATACCATCGGCCCTTCGAAGGACCAAGATAGAAGTCAGGGTTGCACAACACAAGAAAGAACGGGCAGAATGCACACATCAATCATAGAATTCCGGTACGTTTAAATAAAAAAAGAAGAAAACAGCAGGTAATTAGCGAATTCAGCTACCACTGATCGAAATGTCGGCCACAAGGAAAAACAAATTCTTCCCAACTTTCAGCAGTCATTAAATGTGCTGAAAGTTTATTCCATTCCGACACTGCTTTTTTTTTTGTTTTTAAGACTATATAAAACAATTTTAAGAAATATCATTTTTTTCACATAGCTGCTATGCGTATACGCGACACTTTTTTTAATTTATATACTCTCGCTTGTTTACAAATACCTAAATATTAATTATGCTGTAAAAAAACCTCAATCGTTTCTGCTTCCTGCTTACCAGGAGGTGTGGTAGATTCGCTCTGTTATAAAGAGGTGATACCGACTCTATCCTTCTATATCGAGAATAAATCAAACGTATCCAAAAGGCGCATGGTATAGTTTAGTGAATGATTGGAGCACCTATGAAATTTCTACTCGATACGTTGAGTATTTTTCCCCAATTACCAAACTCTTAGGCACTAAACCCTTTGTAGCGTGATCCGTTATTGTCCCGAAACGTACCCTTGGCCAAAGCCAATCTCGTGCGGCTTTGACCAAGACGTGGTCTTATTAGCTGCCACTGAGCTAACAAGGCGATGTCTCGTTAGCCCTATAACTTGCCTTTATTGAGAGCTTGTGCAGAACCTACATTGTGTTCGAGGCGCGAGCGCTGCCATCATCGACTGAGTAAACTTGCAATTATGTTTCGTTATATATATATATATATATATATATATATATATATATATATATATATATATAATAGACAAATATTTCATAAAATCGATTAAATCATATTATGAACCCGGAACATGGGAAGATTATCAGAAATGGGGTCAAGAATACCAATTGCCTTACTCACCTGACAAAAGGTGTCCGTCCAAAACGTTGTATTTTCAGTATCTCTGTCCTCGTTCGGTACGCTATATCTCTGAGTATTAGTGTGCTTAATAGACGATTTGCTATTTTCCCAAGCGCCCCGGCCCGCGCGCGAGGAATTGTGGGAGAGACTGTCCCTCGCCTGGCCGCTCTGCCTTGAGATCGCGTTGCCTTGTCGCTTGCCTCCTCTTAGTCCTCTGTTTTTCGATTCCATTACCTATTTTTATCTGTTCAAGTATATCTTTTATTGCTTCTAAGTGTTTCTATTCTCTTCTGCGCGCAATATTTCTTGTATATATATATAGTATTTGTGTCTATATCTTTCCTTTTTCGACGGGAGTGCCGATGGACAACACTCCGCTTCGCGCGTCGTTTCCCGGGTGATAGACCATTCCATTTAGCACTCTCTGGGCGGCACCATTTTGTTCGACCGCAGCGCCCTCTCCACACATCCGGGAAGTTCAGCGGGTTCGGCGGGGTAAAACGAGAGAGAGGGCACGCCGCCGACTCCGCTAGCAGACGACAAACCGGGAGGTTGCCGTTCTCCATCTTTGGGCTGTATCGGCAGGCTCTACCGAACACCGAACTCTCGCTCGTGGCTGCCGTTGTGAAGTGGTTCGCGTTCTTAGAATAGTTGTGGCTACTCCAAAATCAGCCTATAGCTCTGTATTGTTCTATTTTGCTAAATGATAAACTAGCATATTTTTTTTCCGTTACTTAAATAGCAGTTGAGTCAGCCGGCAGTACCACCCTCAACTACTGCGTGTATTGCGGCAGGAGAGCACGTTTTTATTTATTATTTCAGACCTCCGCTCATGGTCGCTAAAGGCCTACACCAGTACGAACTTTTGTATAGTAAAAAAGGTACAGCAACCGGATTTTCTTTTTGCCAAAGAGACCGGCCAATCTGACACAGTTTTCCCTATTTTTGTTTTTTATTTGCACGCAGGTAACAGTGCAATTGGACCCTGTGAGTCTTTTTATCTAGCATAGTATTACACGATAACTGGCATACCAAAGTCTGCGCATCTGCGCTTGAAAGTTCCAAAATGACGCGATTTTAAACAGAGTTTGCACGCCAGCCGGACGCTAGCTACAGCCCACTCGGCGGAGCGGACGGCTGGCGGGGGAGAGGGGGAGTGCATTTTTTTTTTCTCTTTTACCCTCTCTGCTATGACCCTAATGGAACGGTCTATACACCAACTCATGTTTACAAACAAACCGGAGCGCCCCTAACGGACGCCACCGGCGCCGCGCATGCGCGGTGGACGGTGGGCAAGAAGCCCGCCGTCGCCCATAAATAAACCATTGAATTGCGTTGTTGTCGGCGTCGGTAGGAGTCCCCGTGCTCTTTTTCGCGTTGGAATTGTTGATTTTACGTCCTCCTAACAATGTCTGACTACTTGAGCGGCTTCAGCAAAATTAACGAGGCAAAACTTTGCGTGAATAATGTGACGTGCGCCGATTCATTTCACGTGGACGCCGCAGAATGGGCACTAAAGCCTGACTCCCACGATGAGATTCTGCTCGCTGTTTTCAGACGCGACGTTGCTCGGACTGCAAAAGCGTGGACCGTAGCTGAAATGGTGGACGTCGATACTGAAAACCGCAAGTAGAATCGGGCATTACAAGTCGGTGATGGCCACTGGTAACAATAATGATAAACATCTTCTTGTATCTGTTTACACTTAGCCTACTTACCCCAACCAACCTTCAAAAGTGTTTTGAGGCCTGCACTTAGTTCTTACCGCAATTACCGGGTCAACGTTTGGTTTCCGGGCCGCTGTCGTTTGGACGAGCTGACGACAAAAAGCAGCCAAGTTTGAAAGAGCAGACGACAGTTCGAACGCATGCGTAATGGGGTACGGGCAAGAAGCACCGCGTCCCGCGTCAACAAACCACTCGGATGTCACGTTGTCGGCGTCTGTGTGAGTCTGCCTACTCTTTTTCGCGTTGGAATTGTCGATTCTACGTCCTCATCGCAATGTCTTACCACTTTAATCGCTTAAGCGAAATTATCAAGGCTCGTTACGCCGCCAAACTTTCCGTAAATAATTTGACGTGCGGCGATTCATTCGCATGAAAGCCGCAGAATGGACGCCAAAAACAAGATGAGATTCTTCCAGCTATTTTCGGTAGCGACGTCGCTCGCGTTGCAAAAGTGTAGAAGGTAGCGGTGATGATCGACGTCGATACTGAAAATCGGAAGCGGGAACAGACCAAGCGTAACTAGTCGGTGATGACCACCGGTACCAATGATCAACATCTTGTATCTACTTTTTACACCGAGCCTACTTAAGTCTTTTGAGGTCTGCAATTACTTCTTATTGCAATCACCGGGTCAAGGTTTGGTCTACGGGCCGCTTTTGTTTGAACGAGCAGACGACAAAAAGCAGACGTTTGAAAGAGCAGACGAAAGTTCGAACGATCAGGCGGCCGTGTGAATTTGAAGACGCACTGAACCCGTGGGTGGTTCGGACAACTTGGCGGTTTTTTCTTGTTTATGTTGGAACAAAGCAAATACATCTGGCGACCACAAAGTGTTGCCCGCGCACGCAATTGTAGTTCGACAGCGTCTGGTTTGCCCTTTTCACGGCTACTATCCACGTTCTCGGACGAACGGAGGGAGCAAAAACACATGAAAACTGATCTCCAAACCTTTCCAGACTCTCTTAATACAACCCCCGTCGCAGCATTTTGACGAGAAAGCAGGTTTTTTGTCTCGTTTCTTCCAAGGGAACACAGGAATGCATGTCTGGCACGGCAACTTCTGCCCACCGCCACAGACCGGAAGTGCGTCCGGCGCGCCACCACCGCGGCGTGACGTAGGAGAGTTGAGTTGGTGTATAGAGGGTATTCATTGGGGGCCATATTTGGGGGCGATTTTTAGAGCGCATGCTCAGAGCGAGCACAAATTAATAGGCCGCAAAGACCGACTATCTTGATGGTGCGGAATGCACGTTGCAAAAGAACTGGGGAAGCTCGCAGTCGGCACGAGCTCAGCAGGTGCGCACACAGATATGGCCGCCAGTGAATACCCCTTATAACCGTTGCTACCGGTTCCTATCGCGCTGTTAGCTGTTCATTTTGGTTCCATTTGACCCGCGTGCAGTCAAGAGGAGCCGTTTATGAACACCTGCGCACATGTCATAGGGGTATGCAGAGCTCTGAATCAACAATCGCGACGCAAGAGCCAAGTGCGCTGTGATTTGGCCACCCGCGCTCGCTCCGTTTACTCGCACTGTAACGTATGCCTTCGAGTGCCGCTTACTTGACCAAGATACAGCACGCCGCTTTGTCGCCGCGAATCATTTGTCCGAAGCCTGCGAAGCCGTAACACCGTTCGGCATATCCAACGCTGCGGCGCCTGACAAATGCACGCGGCGGCGCGCAGTTGTCAGCACTTGAAGAAGGGTGTTTGCAACTGACAACCACTTAGCAGGCATACCAAGCGTATACAAGCTGCGACGTTGGGCCACCGGCGCTTGTGAAGGGCTCACGCCGCAACGCGCAGTTGTCAGGCGCCGCAGCGTTGCATATGCCTCAGATTCGCAAACATTCGGACAAATGATTCGCGGCGACAAAGCGGCGTGCTGTATATATGTTGCTCAAGTAAGCGGCACTCGAATGCATACGCTACACTGCGAGTCAAAGGTGCGAGTGCGGGCGGCCAAATCACAGCGCACTCGGCTCTCGCGTCGCGATTGTTGATTCAGAGCTCTGTCCACCCCTATGACATGTGCGCGCGTATTCATAAACGGCTCCTCTCGATTGGATGCGGGTCAAATTAAACCAAAATTAACAGCTAACAGCGCGATAGGAATCGGTAGCAACGGTAGTACTCACCCGGGGAACGACGCGCGAAGCGGCGTGTTTTCCTCAGCACTCCCGTCAGAAAAGGCAAAATAAAGACACAAATACTATATATATACAA